AACAGTTTGTTCTGATCTGCCATTTTGAGTTATTAGAGGGAGGCCCGCCTGTCACCTTCTCAATGGGCTTCATGCAAAGTGCTCCCTCCCAGCCTGTGCTGTTCGGTGGCCAGACTGGCTTCGCCAGGGCTCTGGGTGGAATTTACTGTAAATGGGGTTAATCTCTACAATCCAGAAGATGAATACCGAAGGGCTCATAAAAGCAGCAGAGTGCAAGATTGGACAGCCCTGCCGCTCCAGCATGCTCCAAGTGAAGCCGGCCCTGCTCAGTGATTAGGAGACACTCTGGAGCAACCCTGAGGGGCAGAGTGTAATGGGTCATGAAGCGTGCACACAATGGGATCAATTAAGAGGGTTGGAGATGCAGTGAGCTTTCCAGATTGTTTCAGCCCTCTTTATTTGCCCTATAGAAGGAGCTGTGAGTGAACTGGACAGCTGATGGTTCTGAACGGGACAACTGTGTGTGTGTGTGTGTGTGTGTGTGTGTGTGTGTAAGGGTCTAGAGTCTAGAGTCAACTTAAGATTTCGGGCGAAGTGAGGCTCCCTGCTGCTGTATCTGCCAAGCCAAGAAAGTCTGTCTCAAACAGCTGAAGGTCAGAGCTGATGAGTCTGGGTAACAAATATTGGCATAGCTTTTATTTTGAGCAAAATCCAGGCTATTTCATCTTACACCATGCTCCTTGGGAAAATATTTTCCAGGAGCCGAACTATTTCCAGACACAAAACAAAACCTGTTCATCTCGATGGGAGTTAAAAATGGGGAGATGAGAGTTTAGCATGTTTCCGTAAATACTCATTAATGCAACAAAATGATCCTACCACAGGCAAGGCACTGTGCTGGATAGCTCTGTGGACAGCAAGATAAGAGCATTTTCAAATGACATATGTTTAAGAAAGAATACCTTGTGTTTAAACACCAACTGTCTTTCCCGATTTAGGACAGGGAGTAGCTAAAGGTCCATGGTGGCAAGCGGGGACATAACTTTCCCTGGGTGATGGGAATAGGGTTTTTTGTTTGTTTGATGTCACTTCTGCTAACTACGTTTCTCAGAGCGAAAGTAAACATGACGGCCAAGGGACTTGCACAAATATTTGTTCTTTGGTTAATATGAATATATGTTCGTGTTTACTCGAATTTTCAAGTATACTCTGAATTGGTACTGACTGGCCATAAATGAAGGAGTAGTAGCTAGACCAGTAAGTGAAGGGGAGGACAGGTGCTCGTTTCTTCGAATCTATTTTCAGAGCTCCTAAAAGGTGGCTTGGTATTTCTTTTTCCTGTTTTTCATCTTTATCACTAATGTCAAGTTCCAATTATTAAGGAGGAAGAGAGGTTCACAATTACTAAGCACTCCTACGTAAGTGCTTTGAATTCATGCCCAATTTCACAACCTGATTTCATCCTCAACTAGCCTCTGAGACAGAATTCTCATTCCCATTTTACAGACTGAGGAAACAGGGCTTGAAATGAAGTCTGTTGCCAAAGGTCAAATGATTTCAGCCCAATTCAGCGTGGCTCTAAAGCTCCCCACATCTGTTCAAATAAATGAAAAGATATGTTTCCCTTTATAAAGCATAGAAAGATGGAAAATAAAATCAGAAGTCAGAGTTCGTTTTCCCTGGTGCATGGTAAAAGTTTGTTTTCCAGATGGTTCATCACTTGAGAGAGAGTAGGGAAGGGACAGGGAAACTGAGAACTCAAGTATCCAAAACCACCGTTGGCTGAAGATAAAGTGTGGCTGAAATCACAGTGCTAATCAGAGAGAGCATACAGCTCAATTGGATATATTTGATCTACACCCAACTTTTTGTAAACTACTCACTTATAGCATAAATTAAAATAGATGAGCAACAAGGGCAGAGAAGCAGGGGGTGTACTGAGAAGAGGAGGGGCTTTGGAGTTGGATGACCACAATCCTGGATCCAAATGCCCTCTGCTATTAACAACCTGTGTGACCTTAGGCAAACTGCTTAACCTCTCTGAGTTTCAGCGTCCTCATTTATGAGCTGAAGGTAACTAAGACTTGCTTCAGCAAGGTTACGATGAAGTTTAAATACGGTAAAACACACAGAGCACCCATCCCCGATCGATAAGCATTAATTTCCTTCTCTTCTCTAGTCACTAGACGTGCAATTGTTGCTGAAGTGTCTGAGACTACTTCTAAGGCTAAACTGGGAATGGTATTAATAGGCTATGAAGGGATTAAGAGATAATCCCACTGGGAAATTTATTGGAGGCAGAAAAATTACTATCCATCCCTATAACCAAAATAGGTGCATCTCTTACCCACGTACATGTACTTGTGACCCAAATGGAGATGTGTCCATTTCTGGATTTGTGCAACAAATATGCCACCAGAGGTGGAGCCTGGGTGGCTCAGTCGGTTAAGCATCAACTCTTGGTTTCAGTTCAGGTCGCGATCTCAGGGTCATGAGATGGAGCCCCATGTTGGGCTCCATGCTCAGCAGGGAATCTGTTTGAGGATTTCTCTCCCTCTCCCTGTGTCCCTCCCCTTGCTCGCTCACTCTCTCAGGTAAGTAAATCTTAAAAAAAACAAAAAACAAAAACAAATATGCCACCAGACATATGTCTACTTTCCCAAGTCAAAGAATTTGTTCCACACAGATCTCCCCAAAGTGTGTTTCGTAAAGCTTGAATCTCACAAATATTTCCTAAACCAAATGAGCATTCAATTCAACCTGCAGGTTTGGAAATCACAACACGCTGCATCTCTCCCCAGGACATTTTCATACACTTAATGGCAAATCTATTTGATTGACCACAGAACCCATTTCCACTTAACACTCATGATTCATCTCATGAAACTAGTGTCCCAATAACACACACTGGAAATACTAGTTTTTAGACCAGCTGAAACCTACTGCATTTCAAAAATATTAAAAGAAAGAGACAGAAATTTCTAGTCGCTTCTCACTTGACCTCTGCAACGGGAACTAGCTCCCACTGGCTTTCTCTTTCAAAGTCATTTCTGCTTTCACATGTGCTCACTTTAGTTTATTCTACTTAATATAACAAGGGGCAATTTATTCCTGTTTCAGAACATGAGAGCCAGACGATTACACGGAGGAGGAAAAGGACATTGCCAAGAATAAGGAGCATTTCCGAAACCTAACGTCCACCATAAGGAACAAACGAAAGACTGTGCTTGCGTCAATATGGGCAGACGCTCACTTTCTGTGCTTAAAATTCCTTAAAAGTTCAATTGTCCATATTTGGCACCTCAAAGAGGATTTTATTGGGCACATCAGAAGGGTATTCCTTTCAAAAGAACCACAGAATCAAACGAGAACATAAAAGTACAATCTATCACTTTGTCAAGGTTCAGCAAGGTCCTGGTCCACAGGCTAAGAGCTCCTGAAACCAACAGGAGCCGTCAATTCAATGATCAGTGACAAGAGTCAGTATGAACAGTGTCAATGAATTTGCAGAATACTGTTATGCTTTCAACAGTTGTTAGCCAACGTTAGCCATAAAGCTGGAACTTTGTGCATGGCTGGTGCATTAAAACATTTTGAATCCATCTCAGCAAAAGACGTATTCTTATGTTTGTGTCAAAAGCCTTATGAGAAGCAGAATTCTAAGATGTCCCCCGCCCGTCTGAGATTCCCAAATCCCGCAGCCCACACACCTTTCCCAGGTACACAGTCAAACATTAATCTAGATGCTGCTAAGAAAAGATTCTGCAGGAGGAATTAAAGTCCCAAATCAGATGACCTGAAGAGACAGAGATTATCCAGGTGGGCCTCACTTAATCACATGAGCCCTGTGACGTTGCACCCACACATCAGAGACAGAAAAGTCAGCAATCCAAAGAATAAGATTCGACATGTCACTGCTGGCTTGAAGATGGAGGGGGGCCTTGGGGCCAGGAATGTGGGCAGCCTCTTGGAGCTGAGAGTGCTCCCCTCGGTTCTAATAGCCACTTGAAGACACTGATTTCTACCACCAACAAGAATGATCTTGGGAACAGAATTTCACCCACAGCATCCAGATGACAACTCAAAGGACACTTCAATTTCAGCCTCGTGATACCCTGAGCAGAGAACCCAGCTCCACTGTGCTGGTCCTCCAACCTAAAGAACCGTGAACTAGTAAATCAGGCTTACTAGTAAGTCATGCTTTTCATCTCAGTTGATGGTTGGCCATCAGAATTAAGATGAAAAACAGAAGGGGCGGAAATATGAGTCAAAATCACAATGAGATTTCACTTCATACCCATTAGGATGGCTATTCAAGTAAAGGACAGTAGTTGGTGAGGATGTAGGGAAATTGGAATCCTTACACACTGCTGGTGGGAATGTAAAATGGTGCAGCCACTTTGGAAACGGTCTGTTGGGTCCTTAAAAGGTTAAACACAGATTTACCATATGACCCAGCAATTTTATTCCTACATATACATCCAAGAGAAGTTAAAACACGAAAGCTTGGACATGAATGCTCTTAGCAGCATTATTCGTAAGAGCCAGAAAATAGAAACAACCCAAACATCCATCAGTGGGTGAATGAGGAAATAAAATGTGACAAGCCCACACGATGGAATATTATTCAACCGTAAAAAGGTGAGAGGTGCTGACACATGCTACAATGTGGATGAACCTTGCAAACACTATGCCAAAGTGAAAGAAGCCAGATGCCAAAGGCCATATAATTCATTCATATAAATGAACCCATTTATATGAAATGTCCAGAATAGGCAAATCCATGGAGGCAGAAAACAGATTAGTGGTTGCCAGGTGTTGGGGAAGGGGGAAATAGAGACTAAGGGCTAATAGGTATGGGGCTACTTCTGGGGTGATGGAAATGTTCTGGAATTAGATGGTGGTAATGTTTGCAAAACATAGCGGAAATCCTAAAAACCAATGAAATGTACACTTTAAAAGGGTGCATTTTATGTTACGTGAGTGATGTTTCAATAAAAATTTTTAAAAATAAAAACAGAAGTGACAAAGAGCTCACAATTTTTTTTTTCAAATACATCCATTCACAGTTTTATTCCACCCCCCAGCTTTTTCTTGTAAAAAGGTTCAAACGCACACACGTGGTTTGGTTTTTTTCCTTCACTGCATGTGTGCTCATCCTGCCACACCATAAGTATAAGTTTTTTGAGGGTAAATAACTTCTTTTGCATTCCCCAACCATCTAACAATATACACTGGTGCAATGTCTCGCTCGTCTCCAGAGCAGTGTCTTCCAATGCTCTGCAAGCCACAGAACCCTTCCTCTGATGGGTGTCCTGTTCAGATGAGCTTCAGTTACTGAGAAAACTAACATTCGTGAGGATTAAATGTGGAGTACTTGGCACACAGTCAGCGGTCAGTCGCTGGTACTGTTGGGTCACCAAGAAACCAGGAATTACTAAAATAGCAAATGGGTAGCTTTGAGCTTGGGTATACAGCAGGTCAGGAAGTCTTTTCTGAAGTAAGTTAATGAAAGCAGTAAAATTTGTGTCCTAGGCTTATCATTGAGAGCAGAGGTGATAGATGGGGTTCACGGACGGGGAGGGGCTGCCTGGAGCTCTGGGTTGCTATGATTGACTGGTGATGTCTGCCATGGCACTGGATGTGGTCTATTCTGAGTGGACATGTTTTCCCTGTAGGATCTAGAATTATGAATACAGCATGAATGCAGAGTGGAGGTCTTTCTGAAAGGTCAAAAATCAATTTTGATCAAGACATCTAGGTTCTTTATACTAAATGTTCTTCATGAGTGCCTGACTTTTTTCTTCCTGGTGTCATTTTACTGCTTACCCATGCAACCTCCCCCACCCCTACCCACTCATTCTCTTCTCCCACCATCCTTTCTCTATTACCCTGGTGACAGAAACCGCAGAAATGTAACAGACAAAAACAGCACATGGTGTGATTGCAATCAAATTCTAACATCCCGGTTATGCGCACCCAGAAGCGTGGAGAGAAGTGTAAGCGTCGTCAAGCGTAAAGCTCACCTTCCTTCCCCCTCTCAACTTGAGATAATTCAGCCTCTCTTGCCACCCTCCTTTGGGAAGTGGCTTCCAGGTATAATTCTGCAAACAGGGAAGATTTTTAAATGTCTCTACATCAGAACTTGATTCACTATCTTAAGTGAAGACTCAGCACTCCAAGCCAGGGTGATGATTTCTATAAATATTTTGGCATTTCCTTCACAATGCTCAGCCAAGTCATCTCTTCTCTCATACATGAAGACTTTTTTATGAACCTGCTCCAGATAATAATAACTCTCTGCATCTATATAACATAGTATTTTTCAAAGAATGTTCACAAAAATTGTCTAATTTCTTCAGACCTAGATCAGGAAGGGTGTATTATGATTCTCATTTTGCAGATGAAAACACTGACGTATCCAAGAAACTAAGAGAGCTCTCTGAAATCATGTATGGTGGGAGGGCACAACACCCCGTATTTCTCCACGAACATTCTTGGGGAGTAGCGGAAAGAGCCCGTCCCACCTAGCAGCTGCGTGAGAAACACAGGCAAGGTAGTAAACTTCTCTGAGCCCCTGCTTCCTCACCTCTGAAAGTGCAGATGTGAGAGCTGGCTCTTAGGCTTGACGTGGGAGGGAAAGGTAGATTGGGTGCCCACCCCCTTGTGGCCTGCTGAAAGACGGTCCTCTGAAGAGACGTATCTACTTCCTAATTCCTGCAATCTCTGCCTATTACCTTATGTCGGCAAAAAATGTGGTTATGTTAAAAATCTTGAGATGGGAAGATCATCCTGGATTATCCGGGCAGGCCCTAAATATGATCACGTATATGGAGAAGAGGAAGGCAGAGGGAGATCTGATCCTCAGACACAGAGGAGAGAAAGCAATGTGGAGAGACAGGATCCACACATATGCACCACATGTGCACGCAAACATAGCACAGACACACACGCACACACACGCTGAGGGTGGTGATGGTGCCTCTCGACTCCAGCCGCCAGGAGAATTACATGAGGTGATGTCTGCCCCAGGTCTGGTAGAGGTCCTGCCATATCATTACCACTCAGTAACTGCGAGCTATTTTTACAACAGGGAAAAGCCACCATCTCAGAGTAAAACTCAGGCTTTGGGAGAAATCTGGATGAGTTTCCTAGGGCTACTGTAGCAAATGACCACAAACAGGGTGGCTTAAAACAACACAAATTTATTATCTCACAGTTGTGGAGGTCAAAAGCCTACAATGGGTGGGTGGGCAGGGCTGCGCTCCTTCAGGAGGCTCTAGGGGACAATCTACTTCCTTGCCTTTTCCAGCTTCTAGAAGCCCCCCATATTCCTTGGCTCTTGGTCTTCTGTCACTCCAGCCTCACTTCTGTGGTCATATCTTCTCTAATCCTCCTGCCCCCCTCTTACGAGGACCTTTGTGATGACATTGAGCCCACCTGGATAATCCCATCAACATATTCACAGGTTCCGTGGATTAGGGTGTGACATTTTGGGGCGTCATTATTCTGCCTACTGCAAAATCTTACTATCTGCTTCATTCACCAGAGGGGAAAAAATCCTCCAAATGGACCTGCTTTTTTCTTTTCCTTTTTTTTTTTTAATTGAACATAGTGGAAAAAGACAGAAATCTGCATTTAAATACAATGTTTTTACCTAGCAGACACCTGTACACACTGAAGAGCCTGTTAAATTAGGGGACTTGGAATCCCACAGGCGGACCACTCACTCGCCTCACACACATCGCAATGGGCGATAGCCGAAGGGACAGAGTTCCTGACTTCCCTTTAGAATGTCAGGGGACGACAGGAGGCCCATCACCCAGCGAGATTCCTGCTGCTGCTTGTCAGTAGCTCATGTAACCAACGGGAACATTCCCCGACAGTGTTCCCAGCCACCTCATTTCCATGACATCAGTGTTTCTTTTGACAGAAAAGAACCCAGCAAACTTTCCCAAAGGAATACGTTTGGGCCCGCTCTTTACTTCTCTGCATCTCCTACTTTCTTTTCTTCTAAGAATCTTCTGTGCCAGGCGGTCCCAATTTCATATTTAACTGCTGCCTCTTTCCCCCACCGGGTCCATCCCTCCCTCCCTCTCTCGCTAACTCTCCCTCCCTTCCTTCCTTCCTTCCTCTGCCATCCGTCCTCTCGCTCCTTCTCTGCATGGAAAAACCTTCTCACTAACACAGATGTTCAAACCTGACACAGGGAGGGTGTCTAGTGCTCAGAGTATTTAAGACTCAGTGTAAGAAAGCAGACTAGTGGCTGTCAAGGGCAGGATCAGGTAGGGGACAAGAACAGGAAGTGACTGCTAATAGATATTCAGCTCTTTTGGTGATGGTGGCACAACTTCATGAATATTCTAAAAACCACTGACCTGCATACTTTACATGGCTAAGTTATATCTCAATAAAGATTTTTTTTTTCAAGAGTCTAGGGGCGCGTGGGTGGCTCAGTCGTTAAGCATCTGCCTTCAGCTCAGGTCATGATCCCAGGGTCCTGGGATCGAGCCCCGCATCGGGCTCCCTTCTGAGCGGGGAGCCTGCTTCTCCCTCTCCCACTCCCCCTGCTTGTGTTCCCTCTCTCGCTGTGTCTCTCTCTGTCAACTAAATAAATAAAATCTTAAAAAAAAAAAAAAATTTATAAAAAAAGAGTCTAATAGACTCAGTAAATAAGACTAGGCCTGGTTTCCTCAAGAAGTGTACCTGTTTTGCAGGAATTTTCATTTCTTGGTAATCCAGAAGGCTATATATGTATTTTAATGTAAATGAATCCTAGTGATTGAATGAGTGATACTAATAAGAACGGTGTTTCCTTTCAAACCTCCTAGAATCCAGCCTCCTTGCTCACTGGGGTTCATCTTACTGGCTGGGTGCTGGGGATACAAAGATGGTCATCCAGGGTTCCCCTCTCTAGGAGCTCTGTGTCGACCGGAGGAGACAGTCGGATTAATGGACCGTGACACAGTGATGTGATAAGGGCTGTGACAGAGAGAGGCAGAAAGAGCTTCAGGAACACAATAGGAAGCCCTGGAACGCATTCTGAGCACCTGTCCCGCTAAGCCAGAAAGCACCCCTAAGTAATACTGTCTGTCTCTGGCATCCTGACACCACTCACAATGCTGCCTGGCCCCACCTGCTCACCAGCACCTGGGCTCCCGGGTGCCTTCCTTGTCTCTCGTTCTACCTGCACCCCCTACCTTGCTATGCTGCCTAAGCCAACTGGGGGTTGGGTCAAAAAGCGCGGTGTGCCATGCTAGGGAAGTCTGCCTGGCAACGGTGACACTTCATCCTAGTCTTAAAGGACACGTAAGAGGTAGGCACGCGGAGAAGGGACAGAAAAACGTGTTCCAAGCTGAGGATGTACCTAGGCAAAGACACTGGGGTGGAAGGATAGGGAGTCTAATTCCAGCAATTATAAGGCATTCTGCATGGCCAGGCCATAAGGCGGTTATGCCCCATGGATGGGGGAACAGAAGCCCTCATGAGGAGTGTCACGCTGAGGAGTTAGGACATTATGCTGAGGGCTACAGACACTCTTCAACCACCTGTAAGAGACATGAACGTTCACAGCAGTTCTGGGCGCAACAGCCCAAAGCTGGAAGCAACCCACATGTCCATCGACAGATAAATGCATAAACAAAATGGGATGCCTCCTTACAATGAGATATTATCCAAACATAAGAAGGAATGAAGGACTGACACCTGCTACAACCTGGATGGACCCTGAAGATGTGATGCTCGGTGAAAGAAGCCAGACCCATGAACATATACGGTATGATTGCACTTGCATGAATTCTCCCGCGTAGGCCAATTCAGAGAGTACCTTAGAGGTGACCAGGGGCTAGGGTTGGGGGCTTAGGGACTTGTTGCTTAATGGGTATGGGATTTCCTTTGGGGGTGATGGAAAAGATGTGGAAGCAGGCTGTGGTGATGGTGGCATACCATTATGAATGGAATTATTGCCACAGAATTATATGCTTTTAAATGGTTATGATGGCATATTTTTATATATGTATGTTCTACAATTTTTTTAAGTATGAGAAACACAAATGTTGTTAGAAGCATTCTTCAAGATAGCCAAAAGGCAGAAGAAGTAACCCAAATGTCGTCTCTCTACAACGGAATATTATTCAGTCATAAAAAGGAATGAAGTACAGATACCTGCTACCAACATGGATTAACCTCCAAAACATACACTAAGCATAAAAAAGCCAGGCACAAAAAGTCACATACAGCATCATTCCATTTATATGAAATGTCCAAAATAAGCAAATCCACAGAGACAGAAAGGAGACTCTGGTTGCCAGGAGCTGGGGGAGGGGAGAATGGGGAGTGACCACATAGTGGGTACAGGGTTTCTCTGGGGGTGGTGAAAATGTTCTAAGATTGATTAGGTGATGTTACATAACACTGTAATTATAGTAAATACAAGTGCATTATATACTCTCAAATGGTTAACTTTATATTATGTGACCTTTACCTCATTTTCTAAAAAGGATGAGAGGAACAGCTTCCTGGTTCAGCACATTATCAGTACTACAACCAGAAGGGTTTACATCACAGAGCAGACCCCAAAGCCCAAGGCAGGGTCTCCACTCTGATGCGACTTGCTCCCAATTCCTTGGGGACAATCAAAAGAGGAGGACCTTTGAACTGCACCCCTCCTCCTCCCCTCCTACCTACAGCAGCTCTCAAGCTGAAACTTCAAGATAAGTGTTTGTGTGGAAAGTAGGCAGACTCACGGCCACTTCCAAACAGTCGGCCTTGCCTTCCCCCTTCCTCTAGCCACAGGCCTGAACTCACACTGACAAGGGTCCAGGCCTGGTCTGCCGGCCCCATGAGGGTGGCTTCCCCTCTGACCACATTTGAAAGCCACGGCAGGAAGTAGCTCTGGTTCTGGAGAGCTCCCGGCCACGGCCTCAGCCCTCCCCAGCCCTCCCTTCCATGTACTGTTTTTAAATTTCCTCCGGATGATTTCCACTCCTGGTTTTTGGTCTTTCTTCTAAAACCACAATCTTATTCCTTCTAGTTCAATGACTCTGGGAAGAACTCAGCAAGGGCTTTGGAAGATTCTGGAGTGTCGAGAATGAAGTTAACACAGCTCTGCGTGCCTGAGCGCTGGCTTGGTTTCTCTCCCTTGTTGAGTCCTTGAGTCTTTATGATAAGCAGGGGCATTAATTTTTCCCTCTGAGTGAATGAGGCCACCCACAGGCTCCAGATGTACCAAGGCAGGAGCAAGGAAAAGCCGAGCCATGCAATCTACTCACCGAGCCAGTGGTCTTGGTACAGAGTGGCCTCATAAGCCAAGAAGAGTGTTAACAAGAAAGCGAACTAAAGAGAAATTTACATTTTTACAACTTTTACATTAAGATTTTTCAATTGCCTTAGGAGAGTCTATGGTGGCTCTCAACTGTGATTGTGGGGGTGACTCTGTCCCCCAGGGGATGACACTTTTGCTTGTCAGTTGCCTCTGGCATCTATTGGATAGAAATCGGATGCTGCTCAACATCCTACAATACACAGGACAGCCCCCTACAACAAAGAATAATCTAGCCCAGAATATCAATAATGCCAAGGCTGAGAAACTCAGTGATACAGTATTTATGTTAAAAGACTATTTTTATTTTATATTTTAAACATAAGACAGCCAACCAGAAAAAGTAATTTTACATAAGAAGAGATTTAGATAGGACCCTCAAATGTTATCCAGAGTATTTCCTAATGATAAAAATTCTTAAAATAGAAAATTAAATAACATAGAATCCCCAAAGCTTCCTCATCTTTTTCATTAATCTACAAGTCTACAGGTTAGAGATTGTTTGAATATGTGCCTGAAAACACCCATGGTGGGAATGGTTATACCATAGAGGGAGTTTATATGGGATTATGGGACTCTCAGCTTTATTCCCAGATGAATAAAGTGACTTCTGCTCTCAGGTTGCACACAGTGTGACAGACCGCCTAAAAGAAATAAAAAGATGCTATAAAGATAGGAAAAGAAGCAACTCATTTCTTCTGGGATATTCAGGAAAAATAACTGAGAAGGTGAATTTTGAACTGGATCCTCCAGGTAACTCTTTAAAAGGAAAAAAATGAGGAAGAATATTTGAGACAAAGAAAGAGCGTCTAAGACGTTGTTTTGAATTGTGCTCCCCCCTGCCCCCCAAAGATATGTTGAAGTCCTAATCTCCAATACTGGAGATTTCCTTATTTGGAAATAGGGTCACTGCAGATGTAGTTAGTTAAGATGAGGTCATACTGGAGCATGTGGGCCCTTAATCCAATATGACTGGTGTCTTGACAAGAAGAGGAGAAGAAACACAGACACACAACATGTGAATGCCACATGATTATGAAAGCAGAAATTGAGGTATGAGGTTACAAGCCAAGGAATGCCAAAAATTGCTAAGAACCACCAGAAGCATGAGCAAGGAAGGATTCTCCCTACAGGTGTCAGAGGGAACATGGCCCTGCCAACACCTTGATTTTAGATCGCTAGCCTCCAGAACTGTGAGGAAATAAGCTTCTGTTGTTTCAAGCCACCCAGTTTGTGGTACCTTGTTACAGCAGCCCTAGGAAATGAATATAGGCATACAAGAGTTAAATAACATAAAGTCCCTTCATTTTGAACAATCAATTGGATAATTGTTTCAATCAATGCGGTGGTGAGTACAGAAAGATTCTATGTTGAGAAGATATAAGAGAACCTGTCACATCTTTCTTGAAGGCTCTGTGGAGGAGGTGTGATTGTGGGGTCTGTGAAAGAGGAGGAAAGTGATAGAAGACGGTTTCATGAGGTAAGAATTACGTTCAGAGTAGCCATAAATTCTGAAGTAAGAGGCAATATGTAGGATAGCACCAATGCCAATTTTTGACCAAACCATCAACTCAGGTATTTTTAAACCCTGGAAATGAGTAGTGTCAATGATAAGAAGATGTAGTTAAGGCTTTAATGTCAGGTTACAACCAGGAAGGAAGTGATAACTGAAAAAGAAGGAGGACGAAGAGCAGAAGCAGGAGGAGGTGATGAACAACTGGAAGCAAATAAAAAATACAATTCCATTTACAAT